TTTGTATAGGAAATATAAGTAATCTGTTATGATATGTTTATAAACTACATATATACTTTTATGTATAAAAGTTAAAAAAAAAATACGAAGACATATTTTTTTTATGGAAGACATGTTTTTCATTGCAACATATATGAATATATACTAACATAAACGCAATATATACCACCTAACAACTGCGTGAATTACAAAACATGTTTTTATTTCTCTATGTTAGTTAAAAACGTACAAGCGCGCGAAAAAAAGGAATTAAATTAGTCAGTTATTTATTTTAATTTCTCGCTCTTAATCAAGTGCATAAAAATGGGGATGATAGTGTGAAGGTATGGTAACTTACTTTAGAATTTAATATAGATAAATGAAGTCTTTTAGGTAGAGACATAATTATTTTTACTTGTATAGTAAAATTGCAATCAATTTAAAATCTACATAGCATACATAAAAATTTGGCGAAATTTTATCTATACTTAACGAAATTAAAATATTTGTAAAAATACCATGGTCAAATCTTGTATTGCGTACCTCCAGAAAAGTGTGGAAATAATTGCCAATATACTAAGATGCAGTTACCAAAAAAAAAAGGATAAACTATCCTTAAATTGCGGGAGTATTTATTGCTTGTCGTTTTTTGCTAAAAAAATCAAAATATATGGTAAGTGTATATATCCTAATATCTAGGAATATTGTTCAATTTTTGTGTTATTTATATCTCTGTATACTTATAGTATATTTTCTGGTTTAATACATACAAAATACACGATCAGAATTATATACGGAAGATATACGGAATATATACTCATTATATACAAACGACATAAATAAAATATACAACAGATATACAGAAATTTGGTCATTATATACAGAACATATACAGAAGATATACGAAGCGCGGGCGACAAAACATACGAAGCGCGGGCAATGAAAATATATACTGAACATATACTGCATATAACGCGACATATACTGTCGATTGTGAGTTTACGATAACTAAATACCATCCCATAAATAACGCCATTAAAAGCTCCATTAACTCCCAATCCACGCGCCCACTGTCCCTTTTCCCGCGCGGCCGCCATCTCCACTATCAACCTTCATCGCCATACGGACTCGAAAAATACATCGGCAGCGCATGAAATCGTTCGATCTGCCGCCAACTTTCGCGACCGAGAATTGTGCGACGAGGGGAAGACGATAGAGTCCACCATCGAAAATCATCCCAACCGTCGGAAATTGTTGCTCGTCCACCATCAGCACGTTCGAGAAGCCAACGGTGACGAAGAACTTGGCGAAGCCGCGGAGTGCACCATCAGCATGCTAGATTTGTTCCGGCAGCGGGTTATAGAGAGAGGATTGAGGAGGAGAGAGAGAGAGATGGATGAGGAGAAGAGAGAGAGAGAGATGGACGTGGGTTATGAAGAAGAGAGAGAGAGGGATGAGGAGGAGAGAGAGACCATATAATTAGGGTACTTACCTATTCAAACCAACTCTAGTATATATATAAATAATATAATAAGTTTTAGTTACTTTGCTAATAAATATATAAGGGTTGTAAATGTGCAATAATGTTGTAAATGTTTAGTAAACTATGTAATTTTCTCTAAAAATTTCCCTTTCATTTAAACATTTATGTATTTTAGCCCAACAAAACCAGTGGTCGAAAAGTCGGCCTAGGCGGCCGCCTAGGCGCTAGGCGCCGGTACAACGCCTACGATTTGGCCAAATTGGTCATAAAAATTGGCCGGGCGGGCTCGGCGGCCTCGGCGGCTACGCGGTTTCGGCGGGACTAGGCGGCTGAGGCGGGTTCTAGGCGGCCGAGGCGGGTTCTAGGCGGTTTTTACATTTTTTTTTTTACTAAATGCATTTAGTTTAAATAATAAATCTTATAATTTTTTACTTTATAATTTTTTATATTTATCTTATGTTGTGTAATATTTAAAACATAACATGTAGATAATGTGTTTGATAAAATTACAATGAGAAGAAGTTATATTGAGGTTATGTACTTATTTTGACTTGGAGTTTTTTTTATAATATAATATTAATAATATTATTGGGAC